GCGGACGTCGGCAGATCAACAATTTTATTGGTCGTTACCAATTAACTGACATGTTTGCGTACGAAGCATTAATTAGAAATTACAGTTATAATTCATACGCTTTTATTTTAATCATACTTGTATTTGGAGGTCCAACCAAAGATGAGTCTTATTAATCGTCCTGGTCCATGTTTAAGTTTTATTGGACGTAAACACCCTTATAATCCTACCTAATCGCCTTGACCTTCTGACCATGAATTAATCATGATCATGGCCCATGATCATGCAGTACAAATCATGATCATGATCATGCAGGCTAGATTTGTGTCGTAGATTTCCAACACACACACACAGCCGAGTTCGCCGGATTGTTCGATGTAGTACTATGTGCACGTTAATGACCCTCGGTCATACTCTTATTGTTTACTATATTTATATTATTAAATTTAGCCTTAAGAATTATGCACGTCACTACTACTCGAAGTAGCCATCAATTCTACAAGACACATATTACAAGACAATCACATTATTATTAAAATCAGTCTCGAACCAGGCAGTTGAAAACATAAGACCATCTTGTGTTAGAAGCCCAAAGAAATCCCTACTGTGTAGTTTTTGTAGTATTTGTGTAGTTTCAGAATTTTTACTCTACCCAAAAAGTTTTTGTTGTAACTTTTGTAAATTAACTTTTCCTCAAAAACGGCAAACGCTAGAAACAAATTTAAAAGCTTGTTTTGGAGGTGATTGGTTTTGTATTAGAAATATTGATACTGCCCAACCAAATTGGTACGCATATTATTTTAATAAGTTAACATTTAATTTGGATAGTGCAGAGGCCGAATACGGCACTTCCAGACCGCCACCGGCTCTGACTGGGCGCATACTCCGTACAGTGTTGCCAAATTGAACACCTGGACACTGAGCAGCGATGGGCTGCGAACTGTTGGGTCAAAACTGAACAGCAGTTATTAATTATTAACCATTTCCCACCACCTTTTCTAATGAGGGCTTTGGACCTCCATCGTCACTCCCACACTTCTAAAAAAAAAACATATAGCACTGACAATCATTGCATATTCCGAATCTTACAATTTAGATTTAGCACCTATATTTGGGGTGGTAATACTTTCGACCCTTTGGAAGAATGTAAAACATGATATTTCATGTGAGTCACTCAGTGACACACACTGCGTGAATCACCTTACGCTCGGTCAAGGTCCATCGTGGCAACACTGCACTGGATTCCTGAGCGGGCGATGGCGTCTGTACCCCTTGCAGGCGCGAGATCATCCAGTTTTTTGTTAATTTATATAAATAAGATGCGTAACAGTTTGGTTGAGCAGTATCGATATTTCAAATACAAGACCAATCACCTCCAAAACAAGCTTTTAATTTTTTTCTAGCGTTTGCCGTTTTTGAGAAAAAGTTGATTTACAAAAGTTACAACAAAAACTTTTTGGGTAGAGTAAAAATTCTGAAACTACACAAACTTATTCATTATATATGTGTCCATATTGTATTAAAGTTTGATAAAGTTCTGCCGTTTAGTTTACATTGTGCGAATTTTCAAAGTCATAAGATGGTTTTTGGTACTCTAAAAACAGGCAGTTTTTACCTTCCGACTGTCATAACAAATTTCCTAAAAGAGCTAAAAAATTTTTGTTTCCACAGAAATACGTAGAATAAAACAACGAAAATTTATATATACTACGTGTTTTTCTAAGTTAGTTGGTTACTTTTCTGTAGAGCTCCAAACTCGAGTGTCTAAACGTTTTTCCCCGACAGTAACTCGCCACAGTCTTGAATTAGGAATTCCTGTAAGTACAGTTCACAAAGTTTTACATAAAAGACTCCATCTTCGTGCCTACGAAATTTAACTTCTTTAAAAGATCAACCCACCAGATTTGATTTAAAAGTGTAGGATTCGCTACATTTTTGTTAAACCACATTGGGGGAATCGAATCGTTTTTGAACGATGTTATTTTTTCAGACGAAGCCACTTTTCACACCAATGGTTGTGTTAATAGGCACAACGTTAGAATATGGGGATCGCAGTATCCTCATGAACTATTTGAAAAGGAAAGAAATTCGCCAAAAATGAACGTTTGATGTGGCCTGTCCAAAGAAGGAGGATAATTTTTTAGCAGAAAAAAACATCAATTTAAATGTTTATCTGGACATGCTGGAGAACTATTGTTTTCCTCAACTTGATGGAATGGAAAATGCTAAGAGCCTTCATTTTCAGCAGGATGGAGCCCATCCATATTTTAAAACCATTGTTCGAGATGCCCTTAATCTTTAAAGTTCCCAAACAGGTGGATTGGCAGATTTGGCCCTAGAGCATTGCCTCCAAAGAAGACCGGGCATGACTCCCTTGTGATTTCTTTCTTTGGGAATATGTAAAAAACATTGTCTATTCTGAAAAGATTCGAAATTTTGCCCAACTAAGAGAAAGAATCAGAGATGCAGCCTCTACTGTAACAAGACAAATGCTTGTTGCACAACGAATGGGCTGAAATCGAACATTGTCTTTCCGTCTGTAGGACAAGACATAGTAGCCATGTTGAAATTTATATACTGTATAAAATCCTTTTTATGTCAGGAATTCAGCAAAATATATCGTTTTTTGTATCTTTTCTCGTTTTCCATTTATTTTATGACTAAACCCCACCATTTTATTTAAACCCCGTATTTATATGAAGGTATATATTATAAGAAATAAAAAATAGCAATTGTATTGTAGGTATACTAGTTGGCGACTCTTCAAGGAAACGTCTTCGAGCCCCGAGGGGAGATAAGGACCGACCCGGGTAGCTGATAGGCCTGTGTGTCAACTTTACTGTATACAAACTGTGTAGTATACAGGGCTAGACCTTCCGCAGACGGCCAGCGGTGACAATTCAAGTCCTGTCGTAAACTGCTGCGTTCACTAAATGAGGTATTCGGAATGTGATCAAGGAAGAATGGAAAACTCGTGAACTACCCTAAACACAAATTTAAAATGTAATCAAAAATATTTTGGGGATCCTTGTTAAAAAAAATAAAAGAATTTTGATTAATCGTTGATTGTTTAGTTTCAAGATGTTTGCCCTAGTTTAGTGATATGCTCCTCACGTCACAGACCATTATATAAAAATCTCAAACAGTATTTCTGAGACAGCTATGATGCATACCAGCCTATGAGTCACAGTCATGGCATTATTCAATGAGTTGCAGTCATTGAAAAGGGGTAGTACAAGTGATTTGATCAAGTGACGATCAACGTATGTAACAGAACAGAGTGGGGGTTTCCTAGCAATTTTAATTACATCTGAAACCTGAAAACCGGGGTTTTAGATATATTTAATCAAATAGTGACACAGCTTAAACGTTTTAAGAAGGGATGCTCGCAAGCCCGACCACTATTGTTCGACAAAGTACAGTTTAGAATAACCATTGTTAAGCCTCCTAAATAAAATCATATACAACACAAACCCACCCCAGATGTGGGCCCTGGGCCTTCAGTTGAAACCTAAATTTGAGTATGATATTTTTGTTTGGTGTGCACATTCATGATTCATTCAAACTCTGTGTTTAGCACCAGAGTTGGCTTTATCATTATAACCTTTAATAAATTACAGGTATGGCGTTAATGCCCGCTCCTCATCTTTAGTTTAGTTGTATATATGTATTACTCTAAAAGATTTTTTACACACATCTATATTCTTTGGTAGCTAAAATAAATGCAAAATACCAACTAGGAAAGCAAAAAACAAAATACATTCTAAAATGTATTATTAATACTTACTTGATACTTACTTCATACTTGATACTTGTGTCCTTAATCCTTCACCGACAATGTCGGATAGACTGCGTCAGAGGCATATTACCATACTATTTACAAATTATTTAAAAACTAATATTTACAAACTTCTTGCAGAAATACACTTAAAAAAATAATTTTTGTTATTTGGCTGTGGCAATTTTATTCCTAACCTACTGGAGTGCTGTTTTCAGCTAACTTTTAGTGGCACCTCCTTTAATTCCTCTAATGAGTAGAGGGGTCTATTAACCAGATGGCCGTGCAGTACTGTCCTGAACTTTGCACTGTCCAACTCTCTCACTTTTTTTGGCAGCGTATTAAAGATCTTGATAGCTGAGCGAGGGTAACTTTTGATGGGGTGGCTAAGCCTACACCGTGGCTGATCGAGGTCTTGGGCCTTACGAGTGTTATGGCTATGCTGGATGGTTTTCCCTCATTTCAAAACGGTGAAGGTATAATCTTTCAGGAGTAGTGCTTAGGACATATTGGCTGTGCACTGTTAGTATCCCTAACTCCGTGAAGAGAGGCCGGCAGTGTTCGTCAATGTCTGAGGATGTTATAATTCTTACTGCCTTCTTCTGTAAGAGGAGAATGTCCTGAGTTAGTGGTGCGTGTCCCCACATCGCTATGCCATAGGTGACATGGCTATGGAAAAGTGCATAGTACACAATTAGTAGATAGGTCGTTGAAATGACGTAACGAAGGTTTCTTAAAAGACATAGTACTCTCGAAAGTTTAGTACATACCTTATCTATGTGTGTATTCCAACTTAGCCTGGGGTCCAGCCAAAACACAAGAAGTTTCACGGCCTCGTCTTTATGCAGATCAAGCTTCAGGGTGCATAGCAGCGCAGCGATTGAGTTTTGTCTTCATTCAGTTTGAATCGGTTCATGTTGAACCAGTCTTTGGCCCGTTCCATTAGGTGGTCAGCCTCCGTCCGAACCTGTCCAATATCATCCTTCCCTTGTGATATGAGGGTGGTGTCATCTACAAATAACATGGTGGATCCATCAAGCCACAGGTTGTTTATCATCAAGGTAAAGAGGAAAGGTAATAGGGCGTCTACATTTTATATAGTACGTTTCATCCTTACTTTCTGATGTTCTAGTGGGTTTGGAATTCATAAACGCCTTTGCATCTTGAAAAAAGGAGAACAAGAACTGTCAATTTGAAGTATGCAGCAGCTAGCAGACAGAAGTAAGAAGTAACTATGCAGCCATCTTCTGATTATGAGGCAGTTTCTAGCATTGATTGATTTGAGTTAAAGTTAACGTTAATCAAGCTTAAATGATTTTTTACTATTGTGTTTCGGTGTGCGATGAATGTTAGTTACGATATTTTTTTCGACAACACCTAGTGTGCTTTTAATTCAAAGTTAAGTTGAATAAACGATGAGTGCTTTGAAATTAAGTTGAACGTCCCATGGCCTAATTTGTGACTATGTGAATATTAATGTACAAATGACTAATGAGATGTTTAAAGTTTTAAAATGCTCGCCTATAAACTATATAAGAAATTATGCTAGGGTCCTAATTTTTTAGGACCTAGAGAAATTGCCAGGTAAGTCTATAAGATTAAGTTACTTTACTACTCGAGGGCAGAAGTGTGGTTATTGAGTGTATGATACAGATTATGGTTACAATGTTCACTCCCTTTTATTATTACCAATGATAGTAACTAGTTTATAACGAGCGTCCCTTATTACCAAATTAAGTTTTTACTAGCCTAAATAGTTGAAGTTTGTACGCTCTCATTGACTGGAGAAGTATTCAATCAGGTAAAGTAACTAAGTTAAATAGGCCTAGGTTAGGAACACCAAACCTAATAGGCCTGGAAGCTATATTGATGTTTAAACTTAGTGTAAGCTTAAACATATTTATGCGTCATGAATGAATCATAGTTTTGTCCAATAAAAGCCTACCGTACTTTTTATCTGATAATCCAATGTTTACCTTTATTGGCTAGCCTTTTGGCCAGGCTATATTTTTGCTTTGACTATTTAAAGGCTTCAACTAGACATTAAAACCCCATGTTAATGTCTTTGCCAGTTTTTAAATCAAATTCATAAAGTTACCTATTCTTGATGCAAGCCACCCCTAGGTACGTGATGTTAACTTAGGTAAATTAGACTAACTTAAGTAGGCCTAACTTACTAACTTGTCCTAATTCCTGTCCAATTCAAAAACTTTTAGCTACCAAGTCAAAGTGATAAGTTAGAATGACTTATTGTAAGCTACCTACTTATTGTAAGGTATAGGGCCTACTATAGGCCTAATATAATACTTTTAACTGAAATGACGACCATTTGTACAAAGGTCGGCATTTTAAGCCAGGTAACTTGTGAACAGAAACTGTTATGACCCATCAACTATGTTATTGGTAAGTTAGCAACAAACAAGGTAGAAAATATAATTAGCCTTGGTCACATACGTCATAAGAGTCTTAACCATGTTGGTTCATAAGTTATAAGTTAACTTCTTGCGTTATAAGTTAAGCCTGTAAAGTTATAGCCTAATGGTTATTTAATACTATTTGTTTAGCAACTTCTTTAATTGACAGTTTGGACAATAAATGCAAAGCCGCCTGGGCTCTTATTAAACAAATTCTCAATCCAACTGTAAAACAAACAATGACCCTACTGACCTAGATATCCTCAATAGTTATTTTATTAATTCTAATTTCTCACATGTTAGTTGTGTTGAAGTTGCTTAAATTATATCCAAAATGAAGAACACCAAAACCCAAGACTATTAAGTTATGGGTTTTCTAACTGACTGGGGTTGTGATTAGGCTACCTACCATCTAATTAATCAGGTCGGGCAGTGCACTAATATAGTTTTTGACATTGGATGGTTAATTTCATGTGTCACATGAATGCACAGTCATCTTTCCTCTGAAGTGAGCAAAATGGGTAAGTTAACCTTGTCAGCTGTAATCTAACTTATCAAACAAAATTGTCGCAAATGTGATTGTAATGGTTAGATCTCACATCCGTTCTTTGTTTTTTTTTTTCAACTTCATGTAGGCCTATCCATGTTTTATATTTTTCCTAACATATCCACCCCACTTGAAAAAAAGCTATGTCGACACTTGGTTTTAAAAATCCCACAAAGTATAGATACCAAAATAGTGTAGGCTACTACCTATTATCTTTGAATACCAGGCAATATGAACTATTTTTGGTCCACTTTTTACTGATCCGAAAGTACAGATACCAAAGAAGTGTAGGCCAAACTTACAGTGATCAATACTCCACTCAATACTAAAGTTTGGATAATAGGTAAAAAAATCTTTTGTTATTTACCTATTACCTTTGAACACCAGGCAATATGAACTATTTTTGGTCCACTTTTTACTGATCCGGAGGTTAAATAGCCTTAATCATAAAACTTAGGGCCTACTTAACTTAAATTTAATTCATAACAACTGTTTCATTTTTTGACGGGAGCCATGATAAACTTTTAAAATTCATGTTTGTATCGCCTGAGCTGTTTGACATAGTGTAAGGCTAAATTACTTACCGTACTTACCGTACGTAATCCCGTCACAGTTCAACAAATTTTTTCACAATAGGATCAGTTTAAAAACACCATCGTCAGCTTCAGGTGTAGATTTGATCATTTGTAAACATCGTCAAAAGCTACATACAGTATGGTACAAAAAAAATTACAAAAAAGTAATTAAGGTAAAAAATATCGAAATTTGGTTTTTATCGATTGTTATACCTCATTTAACATAGAACAGGGCAGTATCAGTAAAAATATTGAATCAAAAATGTAAAAGGTTGAAATAAATTATTTTGTTAGCCTCTGCACGGTCTAAAAAAAGGTACCTCTTGTCGCTTAATGTTATTTCACCATAACGACAAGAGGTCCCATTTCTAATATTCACTTTATAAACAGTCTTTAGTCCAAATAATGAATTATCCTGCATTCTAGTTGAAATTTAGAGAACTAGGCCTATAACAAAGTTTAGTTTACGGAGAACAAAATATCTCACAAATTTTGCGGACTCGAAAAAAGGTACTTTTTTTATGTTATGGAGAAATAACATCGGGCCGACAAGCCTTTTCTGAAATGTGAATTTCACAACATATTCAAGGTAAACAATTATTTAAATGAAAACTACCGTGAGTTAAGAAAAAAAATTTGTATTGCCTACAAAGAACACAGTATAAGCTTTCTTTTGATACTAAAATCGTTTCATAAATAAAAAAAATAAAAAAACAGTTTTTATGCGCATTTGAAATTTTTAAATAGTTTTTTTCTCAAAATAACCCTTTTCCATAGCACAATTTCAAAGTACTATATATAGCCTTAACAAAAAAATCGTAGATTCATGGGACTTGCACCAAGTGATTTGCAATTTAATAAGGAATTCTAATATATATACTGTAGTATATAGGTATCTCAAAATCAAAAATTCCTGACAAGAGGTCCCTTTTCGCTTTCCACATCACAAATTATTGCCTACAAAAGTGTGTGAAAAACATGTGTCATTAAACCTAACTAGTTCTTTAAATAAATTTAATCTTTTTTTAGAGGTGTATCAAATTTAATTGTTATGCAGGTAGTGATGTGGGCCGGGTTTTGGGAAAATACCCAGTAGGTTGAGTGGGTGTTTACCCGGGTATCATAACCCTAGGCCAAAAGTATAAACACTAGCAATGTTTTGCGTGGTTCATTGGATTTTCCATTTCAAAATGAGAAAAAAATGGTCATTATTTGGTTAGAGGTTAGGATAATTTGTGACATTAAAAATTAAATACAAAACACCACAAAAAACTGCCATAGCAAAACTGCAGACTAAGCGAATTTCAATTTGTCTGATTGTTTTTTTTTTACTCAGATATTTCCATAAACAAGACATATTTATTCCCATTTGAAAATAACATTAGATTTAACGAGTACTTCCGTTTGCTGCTGTGGGGAGGTTTAAAACTGTTATTTTGACCAAATAGTAGCAGTAGGTTAGTAGCATGATGAAATAAATAAATTAATGCCAAATTTGATAGTCCATAAAAAAACAAACTTTAACATTCCCCCCCCCCCCATAAGAATAACATGGGAATTTTAAATACAGTTTTTTTCTCCATAACCTTTAATTGTACAACTACACTTTGATATATTCGCTAAAAACATGTAAAGATGACCCATAAAAAAGGGTCCTTAGGTTTTAAATGTGGGTAGCATATTTATGATTTTTAATACTTAACCATTGGTTTTATAGATTTTATGGGGGGCTATAATAAAAAAAAATTGTAAAAACTATAAAAATTATGCTTAAATTGTTTTAAATGATCGCAAAAGAGTAGACCTACATATAGGCCTCTCTGTACCAACCTTAATACAAAATATGAATTCAAATATTTTACAAACCTTAGGCCTTCTATATGTGATAGGTTTTTGTATTTTAAGCCAATTTAGGCCTACTTAGACTTTATTATGAAGATAAATAGTCAAGTCCAAGAAAAAATCTTTTTCAGCACTTAGTATGTTTAATTCAAAAATATTTCTTTTATATCTAGATCTTGTTCCGAACCAAATTACAATAGAAAATGTCACTAAAATGTTTTTGTACCCAATATTCAAATTATTACATAGAGTGTGACCATTACTTTCAATTAGGCCTAAACATTTGCATCAACCCAATAATCAAACTTGTGCTAGACTCTCAGGAAAATGTTTAAAGATTGTGTTTAACAATGGAGAAACTTTCCATTCAATGTACGTAAACTGAACATTAAAAATCCAGGAATCACCCTTCCTTATAACCTGAAATAGTTTTAAAGCTCAAACTATTCTAGTTAAATTTCTAAATAATTTCTTTGGTAAATTATTTATCAAATAACTTGTCAACTTCGTTTGGCTTTTACTGTTAGAAACTTACTTATTCAGCAATTTAGGTAGTTTCTTCAACATCCTAGTTTTTAAAAAATGTTTCTTCCATTGGCATTGAACTGTTTTTCTCATTTTATGACAGTACAACTAAATTAATTATTTCCATACCATGCTTACATTAGGTATGCCTTTGGTTTGCACTAAAGCTTCAATAAAAATAAGTTTTCTTTTATCAAATTAATTTCACATTAAATGTCATTACTTTACAATCATCCGCCTAACTTTCTGTTATTCCTTTACTAAAAATTTAATGTGTATTCCTTGCATACAAATTTCCTGAGAGCAAGGTGTGCATTATCGTAAACAGTAGAATTTACTAGTTTTTGCTTTCATTAATTGTCAATATAAAACATCACATTTTTTTAATGTCTTCTACAAACTGTTTCTTACTGTATTGAAGAAAAAACATCCTTACCTTACGTCCTCAATATTTTTTGTACAAAATTTTAATGTCAAAACTAATAACTTTCATTAAAAATGTTTCAATCCTAGCATTTACAAGTTTAGCCTAATTAGAGCGCAATACAAGTTTTAACTAATCTCATGAGCTTTGTGAAAATCATTACTTAACTAATAGAAAGTTCTGAAAGTCTCATAAAGTCTCATGGGATAAACCTTTAGCGATGATGCACTTACCCTGGTGTAAGATAGACAATACAA